TCCCTCTGCGTTTTTGCAGCTTGTCTGGGAATCTTCAGCAGCCAACGCTGTGCTGAAGTCTCCCGTCTCTCTGATTTTAAGCATATTCCCCTCTTTTAGTTTTGCTTTTTGTCTTTTAACCAATGCTAGAGTGAAACGCAGCAATTTCAGTATAACTTTCTTGGGGGAAGTTTGGGGTTGCGCGTTGTTTGTTTTAAGGCAGGTTATTTGTATGCCTAGTTTGTTTTATAAAACTTGCTGTAGAATCTCCTGTTTGCTAGTTTTTGTTTTCCATCTCTATGGGAAGTTGTTGCTGTCTAAACTGATAGCACTGCTGCCCTGGGACTGGGGGTCAGGCTGTTTGGTTTTCTGTTTTGTCTACCGGAAAAAAACTCTTCAAGAATATGTAAATATTGATGGTTTTGATGTTGCAGAGTGTGTGTGTGTCAACCCATGGATCCAAGTCCTAAGCTGGCAAGCTTTTCCAGCCTGCGAAGCTTTGAGTCTTGCTGGAGAAGATTAGGAGGTGGGCAAGGAGTTTGAGAGCACACATATGGGAAGGCTGAAAGGTGTCGCAGAAAGGTCCCGTGTGAGTGGGAAGGGAGATGGTAACGGTTGGGGTTGGAGTGGGGTGACTGGGTGTCCCCCATCTCCTCCACACCAGTTCCTGACCTTCCCATCCCTGCTTCCTGCGGTGGCTTCCTTCACGTTAGCCCTGCCGCATCTCATATTGATCACGCGTCGTTGGTATTTCTTTCTTTTAATCAGCACAGATATCCCAGTTACCTCCAAAATGAACTTTCAGTTACAGCATGTAATTATCTCTGGGGCACACATCCAAGTCTCTGAATCATCCTTGCAGCTCTAACTCCAGCCCAGAAATTTTTTCAGTTGGTGATAACATGTTCAAGACAACAAAGTAAAGGATCTTCTTACAGGCATTAGAGCTAAGGTTGTGGATTAAACTGTTTGAGGGGGACTGAAATGATTTGTGGGCAGCTGCCCACTTTGAATAAAACCAGTTGCAATATTGAGGAATCCGTGTCTGAGTGCAGGGCTGTGTAGGTGGATACGCCATACCCTGAGATGGGCCGGGACGCCTTTCCTGAAAGTTTTCTTTTCTTTTTTCTAAATGACTTGTGCTGGTGTGAAAAGCAAGTCGGTTCAATTAAGGCCAACTCATGTTATATTTTGGGTAGGGAGGGAGGGAAATATGTAGTCTGTTTGGAATTTGGGTCTAGCCTTATGCTGTTTATGGCAGCCAAGTGCTGTTCCTCTCTTCTGGAGGTTTTGTACCTTTTCAGCCCACATTTTTATAAGTTTGGGTTTCTTTACATGCTTACTTTTATTGCCGTAAAAACGTAGTTCTTGGTTCAGTGCAGCATGTTCATGCAGAGAGTGTCTTTGCTGAAGAATGCAGACAACAAAAATGCTGGAAATGCCACGTCCTAGACCTCAGTCTCGATCTGCCAAACATGATTTTCATATTTTGCATTTTTTTCCACGTGTTGGGTTTTTTTGTTTTTTTTTTTTTATGTAATAAAAACGCTATATGTCTGTCGCTCCGCTTGCGGAAGGAACAATTCCCTCTGCAATAGGATTTCCTGCCAATTCTCTTTGCAGTCTTCTCTGCCCGTGGATAATTTGAAGCAGTCTGATGGTTTTGACAGTCTAATTATAAAGGCGGGTTCAGCCTTTTACTTGCGTATTAGGTCATCTGGAGGTGGAGTAAGGTAATAGGAAAAGTGGGATGGCAAAATTAAAAATGACCAGGCAGATGATTGGCAATATCAGGCAGTCCCTTGGTGAGTATCAGAGGGCCACATTCCTGGAATATAAGGATGAATATCTGAAATAAGGGCTTTGTTCCTTAGATGACATTAAGAAATTAATGTAGAAAATTCATGAAGAAATTCAAGTCCTCCTGTTCATCCTGAACGAAACCTTTGCAGGAATCTGTTACCTTCTTGATCCCGGGGTTTCATGCTACCAGGAAATCAGAGTTATTAAGTGTGGGCCATTTCAGGTTTGCAGCTAGACTTTATTCTATCTATTATCTTGCTTTATGTGATAAAACTGAAAGTTGTGTCTCTCCATTAGTTCAATCTAGAATTTGTTGTCAAATATTAACCTCATTAAAAGAAAATGGCAGGCATATGAAGCCATGTGGGCCTATTGGAGATGATGGTAAACCAGAGCTGATAAAAGGGAAAATATTCAGGGTAACTGCATGCAAAGGAGCTGCTAAAGAAAGGTACGGTATGAAAATAGTAATAATGTTTGTCTGGATTTTTTTATGATGTTGGGGAAGTAGGTCTGGAGATTAGGGATACAACAGAATCCCTCTTTAACTTCCCTGGGACTTATCCAGGAAAAATTCTGGGAGGAGCAGGGAACAGGTAAGGAGCTGAATAGAAGCCTCAGTAGCTTGCTTTGTTTCTTAGTACAAGCAACACAACAAAGCGCTCAGAAAAAACATTGCTCAGCCTGAAATGTCTTTCAGCTGCTGTGAAATAGCACCAAGTGCTTTTAAAGAGAGCAGTGCCAGAAGAAATTCTGCAACTATGGACATCTTCGAGGCAGGTTTGAATAACAAAGTTCAGAGGTGTGTGTGGGAAACGTTTTGTGCTGTTTACTTAGGTAGAAATATTACTTA